CCCCAGGGCAGTGGACACAACCCCAAGCCTGACAGAGCTCAAGGAGCATTTGGAAAACCCTCTCAGGCACATGGTGGGATTGTTGGAGTGTCCTGTGCAGGGACATGCAGCCAATTCCTGCTCTCAACAGCTCTCCAAGAACTCCTGGAGATGCTGCAAGGTAGTGGAGGGGGCAAGGACAATGTCCAGCCAAACACACATCACCCCAAGCTCACGACGCAGGACACACTCATCACGGCCAACTCCCAGGGCACAGCTCCCAGTGCCATGGCACACAGAGCGGGATGGACACACTCAAAGCCTGGCCCACCACGAACACATGCCAACAGCAAGCTCCCTCTGGCACCAGCTGCTGAAGCAGCCTGCTTTGTAGTTGCTTCCCACTGTGTTTGTTTTGAATAAACACATTTGTAGGAATCTTTATCAAAACACCCAACGTTGGAGGCACTAAAGCGAAGAGGCAGAACGAGATGACGCCAGTGAGGAGGGCAGAGCTGACGAGCAGCTCTTATCGGCCGCAGGAAACCAGAGGGACAATCCACAAAGGAACATTTCCTCTGGATGTACTTTTTCTCTCTTTAAACACCAACAATTCTGGAAGGAAAACTGTTTACTTGTTTACATTTCAAAGCAGCAGTCACGGCCCTTTCCCGGCGCGGGAAGGTGTGTCCTGTTGGAGATGAGCAAACATCTCCATGTCTTTCCTCCATCCCCTGGGAACCACTGTGAGCTCAGGCAGATCCCTCAGCAGGGCTGGGGATGCAGAGATGGGCACGTAGGAGCCCTTCCCTTCCCAATAAACATTTCATAGCTGCAGTTAGCTGCCAGCAGCAATAAGTCACTGGGTGCAGCAAACATCTTGCTGCGAGAGCCGAGCGCGCGGTGTGGGCTCACGGCTGGCTCCCTCCCTTTGAAGTTTCACGCTCAGAAATGGTTTCCTCTACACTCTCCATCAAAAGCAAAGAGATTTGTAAGCAAGTAACATAACTGAGAAGCTGCCTGGGGCAAGGGGGTGCAAGGAGATGGGCTTTAAGGCCTCTTCCAACCCAAACCAGTCTGGGATTCGGTGATTATTTAAGGGGGAAAAAAGCACCTTTGCTGCACAGAGATGTGTGCCAAGGAGTGTTTTCTTTCCCAGCCCACAGCAGAGACGACACAAAGAGCAAAGCTCCTGCTCCACTGCTCTTCAATTCATCCTTTGGAGAAATCACTGCCCAAAGCCAAACCACAAGCAGGTTTTTATTTAAATGAAATTCTTCTTCCCTCACTATTCCACAAGGCAATTCTGCGGAGCCTGCAGGTGCCCCAGGAGCTCCCTGGCTGCTGCAGGAGGATGCTCTGCTCTTGTAGGAGCACTCAAGCAGTGCTGCTCACCTCCTGCTCTGAGCTGCCATGCTTGTAAATATTGCATTTGGGGCTTTTTTTTTTTCCTGGGAGAGGCTGAGGGCTGGATTGCAGACAGCCTGTAAAAAGGCTTCACAAGTCTGGTTAGAGAAGGCGTTTAACACTGTAGAAATAAGCAAACCACAACAAAACTCAGATATGATCCCAGTGAGAGATTTCCGAGTAAAAATCTCATCGAAAAGAGTACAAATGTGTGTTTATATTTAAGCATCTTTAAGTTTAAGAACATCCTCCAGACATGAAGACTTTGGGAACAAGAAGCAAGCTGAAGAAAAGGGAGTCAAATGCTCCCAGAGCAGTGAACAGGCTGCCCCATGCTTAGGACACCTGCACCACACGTTGACCTCCCACCCCTTTCATCTGCATTGGAGCAGCTCCCAGAGGAGTACCTGGACCTCCTGGGAATGTCAGTGCTTTGGTGATGAAGAGGGAGTCTCACACATCTCCTCTCAAAAGGCATCAGCAACTCTGAACACCAAACATCAAAGCAAACCATTACAGGGGCATGTCCTGAACCCACTGTCCCCTGCACAGACCCCCCCAAATACCCTGAGCCCACCCACCTCAGTGCTCAGCCCTCTTTCTGCCCAAGGGCACAGCTGTGGGGAACACACAACATCTCCATGTACTCCTCTTACCCATACATACATCCCTCTTTTCTGCATCAAAATCCTTGCAACAAAACAGACTCAAAGGAGCACAAGTGCCCCACTTAGTGCCATGGTCTAATAATGATGATAGGGTTGGACTTGAGGATCCTTGAGGCCTCTTCCAACCTGGTTGATTCTATGATCATGAGTCTAAGGGCTCATTGCTCGTCCTGTTCCTAACATCCACAGTTCAATCACACAATCATGGAATGGTTTGGGTTGAAGGGACCTTAAAGCCCACCCTGTTCCAACCCCCTGCCATGAGCAGGGACACCTTCCACTAGCCCAGGTTGCTCCAAGTCCCATCCAGCCTGCACTAATTAATATCTGATGAGCAGAGGATGGTAAAACTCACTTTCACCTGCACATGGCTCCATGGGCTCTGTCTGCTCTTGCAGAAGTCAACAGACAACCACAATCCAAGCCAAACCATCCTCCCTTTTTCAGCCTGCACACAGACACACACACACACACACACAATTCATCTAAAACACAGATTTCAGAGCAGCTCAACAGACCCCAACAGCTCCCTGTGGAGAAAGCCTTCAATCCCCAGGAGGAAGCTGAATCCCTCCCTTACAGTGCTTGTGCTCTGGAAGGTTCTCATTAAGTGATGGCGTGTAAGCTCTCTGGAAATAACAGTGCTGCTCATTTGGGCTTCAGTGACAAGTTACAGAGGCTCAAAGAAGCAGTAATGTCTAGATACACGTCTGTCACCCTCTCTTACCTGTCAGTCTGCTCCAGTCTCTCTTTTTTAGGCACACAAAGAAGCTAGGTAATAGTAAATTGAATATATCCTGTGCTCAGTTCTGGGCCCCTCAGCTCAGGAGGGACATTGAGG